AGCCCGGTGTAGTGGGCTGGGGCAGTGACAGGGGTACCAGTGGCCCAGGCTGGGCAGACACGGCACAGGAGGAGCCACAGGGGTGGGCACCCCATTATGGAGGGGGCTAAGCAGGGCAGAGGGTGGGAGGGTGCTGCAGAGGGGTGGCCCACACCGTGGCCCCCCAGAAGGAAGCCTGACCCGGGCCACAGAGGGCAAGTCAGTCATCGGAGAGGGCTGGGCAGGGAGAGGGCACCCTGAAAGGAGGTGGGGACCCTGGGCCTTCTGCTGTGAGGGGGACGTGCTGTGTGATTGGCAGAAGAGTGGGTAGCCCCACCACCTCTCTGAGCCTCTGTGTCCCCAGTATGGAGGTGCACCTCCAAGAATGAGAAGTCCCGTCTGGCAAGGGCCCAGCAGGTCCCTCGGTAAATGACAGCTTCTGTGACAGTGAGTGGCCGCCTCCCAGGGTGCGGGGGCTCCGAGCACAACCAGCAGGCACCACCGGGCCTCAGGCAACCTCACTGGGCAGCCCTATGGGTCCTCTTGGTGCAGAGGTCCCCCACTGTCCCCCGACTCGGGGCCACCCCCTCTCCCAGGGAGGCCTATGCCGTGCGCTGGGAACGGGGTCTGCCTCCCAAGGCTGCGCTTGGCCCGCCCCCACTGCCCCACCCCTGTGTCCACCAGCACCTCTCTCCAAAGACTCCGGCAGGGGGTGTCACCAGGGGCTGGACAGGTGGGGCCGGCCCCGTGTCTCCTTGTTCCACCATAAAGACAAAGCTGATTTACACAGCTGAGGGCGCCGTTTGTCCATCATTGCATTGAATAAGAGAACTTGTTTCCGGGGCAAGATTTCAAGGAAGGCTGTTGCCTGGGGGCAAACGCCTGGCTCTGCCTCCACACGGGACGAGGAGGGGGTGTCCACAGTGGCTTCCTGAGTGGAGGGAAGATGCTCAGGCACTGGCCTTCCAGCTCGGCCGTGAACAGCTTGGCATTATGGGGACCTGAGCCGTGTCCCTGGCCAATGCAGGCCTCTTTGGGCACCCAATGGAGCGCCCCTGGAGGTGCAACCAAACACCCCTTCTAATTGTCAACCAAAGCCAAACCCGTTGCCGTGGAGTCACTTCCGACTCACGGCGCCCGCAAGCTTCTCACGGCTGTGGTCTTTTCAGGAGTCGATGGCCAGGCCTTTTGCCATGACACCTCTGAGTGGGTTCGAACCACCACCCTTCTAGTTAGTGGTTGAACACTGTAAAAATGGCGTGGCGTCTGACCTCCTCTGTCTTCATGATGGGGAGACAGGCTCACCATCAGCATCAGCCTGAGGCTGGTTCCTGTGCTGGGGAGGGCAGACATGCCTCCACCCTCCAGCCCTTTTACCAGCCTCCCCTGGTCCTTTACTCTGCTGGTTCAATAACTCATGGCAGTGGTCACTAAGAATCCACAGACCATACCCACAGCTACGGGGCTTATTAGAGAAGTAACAGGACAACCCTGGGGCCAGTTCTTGGTCAGGGCCGCCTTTCTCCCCCTCTCCCGCTGGGCCCTGCTGGAGACCCAATAAGGCGAGTGTTCCAGCCCTTAGCTCTGCAGGTTGGCAAGCCCACCCCGGGCCCTCGCCCCAGGCTCCCGCTTCCTGCCCTCCCGCCACCATCACTTCTGCTGCTGCTACACCACCATCCCTTGCTGTCTTCTGTGTTACAGCTCCTGGGTCTAGGAGGTTCTCAGCACGAGGACTCCAGGCCCATAGGACACACTCGAGTCCAATCTCTTCTGGGTGGTAGTAAGGTCCCCCCTCTGCTCTGGGATTGGTGCCCTTTTAAGCCTAGTGCAAAACTAGCCAGTCCTCTTGTCGGGGTTCCATGTGCCCTATTTGCATAGTCTCACCCAGTCACTGTTGGGGAGTCACAAAGGCTGTAGGGCCATATTGAGTAACTCACTGCACCACAAACAGTTGGCTGTTCACACCATCCAGAAACACCCACCACTCAAGATGACACTGTGTACTGGACACTGTTCCCACACTTTTCACAAACTCACTCATTTGACCCAAAGCCACCCTAGGGGCTGCTTCTGTGTCATTCCCATTTTCCAGATGGCACCACCGGGTCTCAGGCAACCTCACTGGGCAGCCCTATGGGTCCTCTTGGTGCAGAGGTCCCCCACTGTCCCCCGACTCGGGGCTACCCCCTCTCCCAGGGAGGCCTATGCCATGCGCTGGGAACGGGGTCTGCCTCCCAAGGCTGCGCTTGGCCCGCTCCCACTGCCCCACCCCTGATGAAGAAACTGAGGCACAGAGAAACCAGGCACCTCAAGATAGCCTCCCCGCCCCGTGCCATGGCATCTGGGTCTCAGCCAAGGTCATGGTTGCAAGGGCCTTGTGGATGGCTTGTGAACTGGAGGCATGACACTGCTCATCTGAACCCTCACATCAGACTAACTGATGACTCTGTCATCGCCCCTGGATGGGGCAGAGCTGCGTGAGACACTGTGACCCAGGCCACCAGGATCCCAGTCAGTCCCTTCCCACGTTGGCCCAGACAAGGGCCTGCCTCCCTGGGGGACACCACCAGCCCCCAACAGCCTCCCTGGGGGGCAGCGCCAGCCCCCCAACAGCCTCCTTCTGACACGTTCTGTCTCTCTCGTGGGATGTGAAGTCTAAAGCAGCTGAGCAGCTGGGGTGTTTTTGTGACCCCGACCCGCCATTTCCTGAGGTGTCTGAGTCCTCAAAAGGGACAAAGGGACAGAGAGGAGGGCAGCCATGCTTGGACACGTCCGCCCAGGAGAGGGGAAGGGCAGAGGGATCTGCAGGGCAGAGATGGGGTGACAGAGAGGACGGGAAGGGACAGGGTGGAGCCACTCTGCCCCCAGACGCCATGGAGGTCGGTCTGAGGGGCAGAAGGATGCCCACCCACCCACCCAGGAGCCCCTGAAGTGAGCTGAGACATGGTGCTGACGGGTCCCAGGCTGTGGCCCCTAAGGCTGGGTCGGTGGGGCGCCGCGGGAGGTCGACAGGGGTCAGTGGGTCTTGTGGAAGAGCCTGGCACCTATGGACCCCACCCTCTCTCCACAGCCAACCCCGGTGGCATGCTGGTCATGAAGTCCTGCTCCCCGACGTGCCCGAACAGCACTGTGTCCTCGGACGGCCGCGCCCTCTCTGTCTCCTGCTGCCAAGGCAGCCAGTGCAACCGCAGCGCCGCGGCGGGTCTGCGGGGCAGCAGAGGGGCCCTGTGGGTGGGCACGGCCAGCCTGCTGTGGGCACTGCTGCGGGCGGCCTGGTGAGCCCGCCCACCCAGCCCACCTGGTCTATTCTGCTACCAGCTGAGCAGCTCCTGGCAACCCTCCGACCCTGATGGGAAGGTCCCCTCTCACCAGTCACCCCACCCTGCTTCCCCCAGGCCCCTCCCCCAGCCCCTCCTTACTAACTCAGGCTCAGGGCACCCCTGGCCTGGGCTGCACCCAGAGAGCAGCATCCTCCTTCCCTGCACCCCTAGGAGGCCCTCAGGCTTCCCTGGGCCCCTGGCCACCTGGGAGTCAGAAGAGCCTCCCCCACTTCCCAGCCACTTCCATCCCTACTTCAGTGGCTGTGAGTGTCCCCAGGAGGTCAGGCCGGGGCTCCTGCTGGCACCCTTCCCCACCCTTGGGCCCTGCTTGGTGGGAGCTTCATTGCCCCTTCCTATGCCAGAGCTGCCTGCAGGGAAGACGTGGCTCAGGGGTCTGTGCATAGGGTTCCCGGACCCCCAGGTCACAGATGCCTCAAGCTTCGAATCCATGATCCTCCACCCACCCATCCAACCACCATTCATCTGTCTGTCCTTCCATCCATCTGTCCACCCATCCCTCCCTCCATCCATCCATCCACCACCCACCCATCCAACCCCCTCCATACACCCATCCATCTGTCCACTCCTCACATTCACTCCCACTCTCCCCCCTGCTTCACATTCATGTATCACAAAACCACCAGGGGACCGGGAGACCCCGAGGACAGCCAGGCTGGAACCTGCCCTTTATCCAGTGCTCCCGCCCAGTGATGGCGGATGGGGCTCTGGAGGCCCCCCTGCTGCTGCCAGCCCCAGCCTGACCCTGGTGAAGCCAGTCCCTTTAAATATTCCTTAGCTGCTGCTGAGAGGGGCAGGGCCAGGATCTCCTTGGGACTCTGGCCTTTTGGGAGGGGCACTGGGAGGCTGGCACTTAGAGAGGACTTCCCACCTCTGCCTGCAGTCCCCTTGCCCACTCCCCGCCCCCCTATACACATGCTCACCCTCCGAGTTGCTGTTGTTGGGTGCAATTGAGTCGGCTCTGACGCATAGCAACCTGTGTACGACGGAATGAAACACTGCCGGTCCTGGGCCAGCCTCACAATCCTTGCTGTACCTGAGCCCATCGCTGCAGCCACCATGCCAATCCATCTCCTTGAGGGCCTTCCCCTTCTTCACTGACCCTCCACTTTACCAAGCTTAAGATCCTTCTCCAGGGAAGGGTGCCTTCTGACAACATGACCAACGTAGGTGAGACCAAGTCTGGCCATTCTCGCTTCCAAGGAGCATTCCGGCTGCACTTCCAGGACAGATCTGTTAGTTCTTCTAGCGGTCCGTGGGACTTTCAGCATTCTTCACCAGCACCGCAACCCAAAAGCATCAACTCTTCTTGTTGTTGTTGTTGTTGCTGTTGTTTGCCGTCGAGTCGGCCCCGACTCATAGCAACCCCTCCTTGGGTTTCCGAGGCAGTATCACTACGGAAGTAGGATTGCCCAACCTTCCTTCCGAGGAGTGGCTGGTGGGTTTGAACCGCCAGCCGTCTGGTTAGCAGGCAAGTGCCTTAGGCACTATGCTACCAGAGCTCCGGACTGGTACACCATGTGATCATCAACCTATATGACTATGAGACCAGAAGAACTAGATGGTGCCCAGCTACTACTCAGGTCTTCATTATTCATTGTCCAGCTGTCGCGTGCATATGAGGTGATTGAAACTACCATGCCTGGGTTAGGCCCACCTCAGTCTTCGCAGAGACCTCTTTGCTCCTCAGTACCTGCAAGGCTTTTGAGCAGATGTGCCCAGTGCGGTGGGTCATCTGACATCCTGACTGCTGCTTCCATGGTGTCGATTGTGGATCCAAGCAGTGTGAAATCTCTGACAACTCCAACCTTTCCTCCATTGATGGTGAAGAAGAAAGAAGAAGAGAGCTGCGGCTTTCCACTCTGCCCGCTGCTCTCAGGCACCAGGCCAGCTCTGGGCCTGTTCCTCTCATCTGTGGTCAACTGGGCCCTTGGGCGGGGAGGCTCTGTGCCTCGGAGTGGGCATGGAGCACTTTCCATGACACACATGCAAGTGCACAAGAAAAGCATGTTCCTTGTTATGTCATGGCCTCCGGGAGATGCAAACACTTTACCGGACGGAGGGTTGGAGGTGGGAGCCCGCCCAGAGGCATCTCAGAATAAAGGACTGGTGATGTGTTGCCAAAACCCCCAGCCACTGAAGACCCTGAGGGGCACAGGTCCCTCTGACCGCACACGGGTGCCATGTGTCAGGACGGCTCCACAGCGGACCTTACTGGCTGTTACTCAGTAAGCAGGTGTCCCTTTCGGGTCCTCACTGGGCCAGAGTGAACTGGCGAGGGCAGAGGTGGGGGTCATGCTCTGAGCCTCGGGTCCTCACCTGTACGCCCCATCCTGCATGGCCTTAGTCTCAGCTCTGCATTGTACCCACGTCCCAAACAGCTCTGGGTTCCCAGTTGAAACAGTGATGGTGCTGGAGGCTGGAAGGCCTCTAGCTGGTCACATCCCATCCCAGTCTCTCCCTGGGTGCCAAGAGGCCTCCAAGTCTCCAGGGGCTCTGTGCCCTGTCCCCAGGTCCCTGCGCTCACCAGGCCTGCCCCTCCCAGGGTCCTGGCCAGGCCCAGAGGCCTTCCCCTGCTGCTTCCTTGGGACCCAAAAGCCAGAAGAAAAGGGCTTTCCAGCCCCTGGAGCCTTCATGTCCCTCCCCACCTACCCTGGCCACCCAGCAGTGAGATGGGTCCCAGGGATGTTCCCACAGCCACCTGGCCCACAGACCCTGACCCCTGTGAGCTCCAGCCCCAAAGGGAGAGCCCCCAGCCTCTTACTTCCACACGATCCTTAACGTACCTGGATTTCCCAGCAGCCACCTCTCTAATCTCACGTGGCACCAACGTCTTTGGCAGAGGTGCCGACAGGTGCAGCGGACGAGAGGCAGGGAGCCTCAGAGGGCTTAGTGGGAACGGAGGGAACATGGCCCCAGGAGGTGGGGCATAGGGTGTAGGGTGTGGGCATAGATGTGGCCTCCAAGTAGGCTCCAGGGCCAAGCGGGAGGTGGGCTCCACCCTAGGAGCCTGAGGTTGTGAGCAGAGGAGTGGCCTGATGCCACATTCTGAGTGGGGAGGGAGGGGGAGGGAAGGGAGGGCAGAAGACAGCCCCCAAAACCCCAGCCTGGAGAAGGCAGGGCCTGACTGAAGGTGGAGGTGGGCAAAGATGGGCCCCAGGCCTGGGGAGGATTTGCGTGTGGGGTAGGGGTGGGGCCCAGGAGGTCCCCTTGTCCCCTCTGCTCCTATTTCAATAGAGGAGGGGCGGTTTGGGTGGCGTGCCAGTGGGCCCCGCCTGACCGGGTTCAGGTTGGGACATGTTACCCTTGAAACGCCTGAGGGAGAGAAACCGAGGCAGAGCGGGGGTGTCTGCTGAGCTGGGCACGGAGGACATCCTGGAGTGAGCAGTGCAGTGGCCTGGGGTCAGGGCTGCCTCTCATTGCTGGCCAGCTCTGGGGTCCTCAGGGGCTCACTGCTCTGCACCCGGCATCTCGGGCTCCCAGGATCCACCCACGTTCCCTGCTCCCTATGTAACTGTCTGGGCAGGGATGACACAGGCCTGATCCCTAAGCCACTGTGCTGCGAGGATGAGCTTCCTGGCAGCGCCAGCTCAGGGCCCCTTCCCTCCCCCGGGGCCGTCCCCACACCCAAAGCAGCTGCAACAAGATGCAGACATCGCAGGAAACAGCTGGCCCAGAGAACGGCCAGGGGCTTCCAGGTTCTGAACCCCTCTCCGGGCCAGGCCCTGCCCGCCCCGTCCTGAGCCCCAGGGGCCAGAACCTGGGCTGCACAGTGAGGGTGACTGCGTCCCTCTCCTCACCGCCCCGCTGGTCTGTGGCCCTGAGGGCTGGACATGGCTCTCCTCTTTCTCTTTCTCCCCAGCATGTGGGCGGCAATGTTGAACAAATGAATGAATGAATGAATGAGGAGGCTTGAGGCAGAAACACCAGCCAGGCCTGCCCCAATGGCAGCCTGGCTGCAGAAGCACCCTCTGTCCCCCCCAGGCCACCTGCCTTGCCCACCTCGGCCCCCACCCTCAGCCCAGGGCTCTCAGAGGGACCGGAGCCAGCTACCCGCTCTGGGCTGCGCACACCCCACCTCTTGGGATCGTTCCAGGGGCCAACCCCCACTGCACCACCAGGGGTCCTGGCCTTGATCCCCGTCCCTCCCCAACTTCAGAAATCCAAGACGGGGAAGGGACTGGAAGGAAGGGTGGGGAGGCCCCTCAGCAGGGCCACCTCTGGCCCAGACACCTGACTGGGCTTGTCCCTCGGGTGGTAGCTTCCTGGCCAGCGACATTCAGGGATCGGGCAGGGCTGAGGAAGGGGAGGGCGTGCAGCACCCCTGTCCCAGTGCCCCTTTGGCCCTCTCTGGGCCTCACTGGGC